TCTCATCAGTGTGACTAGAGGTCAGGTTGCCTCTAGCTAGGATCGAAACCCGACTGAAATGGCATCAGTCGCAGATTCTACCATTAAGCCGTAGGCGCACGACAGGGACAAAGGTGATGTCAGTTATCTCCCGTTAATTCCCTTCTCAAAGTTCTCCACTGCCTTAACCAGGTATTGAACTCACACTCTTTGGGTCTTGTCACTGGATCTAACCAACGCCTTTATCCACTGTGCCATGTGTCCTTACGTAATCAATAATCCTCAAGGACACATGGCACAGTGGATAAAGGCTTTGGTTAGATCCAGTGACAAGATCCAAAGAGTGTGAGTTCAATACCCGGTTAAGGCAGTGGAGAACTTTCAGAGATAACTGATATCTGACATTCATCAAACATGGCACGTGAAACTAGAACAGTCTACCCCAGTGAGCGAAATAAAGGGTTCAGTTCGACATTCCAACCACATGAAGAAGGCCGGAGCGTTCAACGGCCGAAACGTTGTGATAAATATGGCGACAAAGATGAGGACAATAGTCCAAATAATGTAAATAATGAACTCAGTTCTTCGATTTCAAATTCCGAGAACCACTCGCACATCCAAACTTACAGCAGCTGGTATTTCCAAGCTCAACATTGCTTAACTTCAGTTATCCTACGAGACCCAGTGTTTTAACGTGATATGGTTAAAAGGCCCAGGATTTTTGAGAAAATAATATATCCATGTTGATTTGCATTCGGGGAAAGTTCATGTGATGCAAGCATCTATGGAAACTAAATAAATTCTTTCTTTTCTGAAAGCAGTTAAAAGGTCATCCCGTATTACAGCAAGAGACATATTGCCCTATATTCACCTGATAAAATCGTTGCAATTAGGAGCTATTAATTCCATATCTTAATTATCGCTGCTACAGCATTTTTTGAAAGAGAATTCGTAACTTTTTTTTGATAATATTTAAAGCTACAGAAAGAAATAAAAATATCAAGCAGGAAACTAAAGACAATTTTATTATATATGGATTCATGCCAAATACGGCTTTCTTGTTCATATGTGTGTGCACGGGCGTGTATGTGCGTGCGTGTATTTGTCAGAGAGAGTGCTTGTAAGTGTGCGTATGTACATGTATAGTTATTTATATTATTCGGACTGTTATCCTCATCTTCATTACCATATTTACAACGTTTCGGCCGTTGTACGCTGTGGCCTTCTTCAGTGGATGAATGCAATGATTAGATCCGGTGACTAGACCCAAAGTGTTGTGAGTTCAATACCAGGCTAAAGGAGAGGTGAACCAAAAAATTTGCAGAGCTGAGTTAAAGGAAAATAACTGAGACATACTGAAGAGACATGGCACGTGGAACTAGTAATATAACCGGGGGGACGAAATGAAAGGTACAGTTCGAAATTCCAATCACGTGGAGCGTACAACGGCTGAAAGCTTGCGAATATGGCAATGAAGATGAGTGTAACAGTCTGAATAATGTAAATAATCATAATACATCATGTCAGAGATATAGACATGTATATGTATGTGTTGGTGATTCTAGGTATATGTATGGGTGAATGATTATAAGTATATTGGTGGGTGCGTGATTCTAAGTATATGTATGGCAAGTGAGTGTGATTCTAGGTATATGTATAGCTGGGTGATTCTAGGTAAATGCATGGGTGGGTGATTTTAAGTATATGTATGGCTGGGTGATTCTAGGTATATGTATGGCTGGGTGATTCTAATTACATGTATGGGTCGGTGATTCTAGGTATATGGGTGGGTGGGGGATTCTAGGTATATGTATGGGTGGATGCTTATAAGTATAGGCATAAGGTATATGGGTGGGGGTGTGGTTGATTCTAAGTATATGTATGGGTGGGTGATTCTAGGTATATGTATGGCAAGTGAGTGTGATTGTAGGTATATGGATGGGTGATTCTAGGTATATGGGCGGCTGATTCTAAATATATGTATGGATGGGTGATTCTAGGTATATGTATGGGTGGTTGCTTATAAGTATATGTATGGCTGGGTGATTCTAGGTATATGGGTGGGTGTGTGGTTGATTCTAAGTATATGTATGGGTGGGTGATTCTAAGAATATGTATGGGTGGGTGATTCTAGGGATATGTATGGGTGGGTGATTCTAGGGATATGTATGGCAAGAGAGTATGATTCTAAGTATATGTATGGGTGGGTGATTCTAGGTATATGTATGGCAAGTGAGTGTGATTCTAGGTATATGGGTGGGTGATTCTAGGTATATGGGCGGGTGATTCTAAATATATGTATGGGTGGGTGATTATAGGTATATGTATGGGTGGTTGCTTATAAGTATAAGTATGGCTGGATGATTCTAGGTACATGAATGGGTGGGTGATTCTAGGTATATGTATGGGTGGGTGATTCTAGTTATATGGGTGGGTGGTTGCTTATAAGTATAAGTCTGGCTGGATGATTCTAGGTACATGAATGGGTGGGTGATTCTAGGCATATGTATGGATGGGTGATTCTAAGTATATATATGGCAAGTGAGTGTGATTCTAAGTATAAGTATGGCTGGGTGATTCTAAGTATATTGGTGGCTGGATGATTCTAGGCACATGTATGGCTGGGGGATTCTAGCTTTATGTATGGGTAGGTGATTCTAGGTACATGTAAGGGTGGATGATTATAGGTGTATTTATGGGTGGATGCTTATAAGTATATGTATGGGTGAGTGATTCTAGGTATATGGGTGGGTGTGTGGTTGATTCTAGGTATATGTATGGATGTGATTCTAAGTATATGTATGGCAGGTGAGTGTGATTCTAGGTATAAGTATATGTATGGCTAGGTGATTCTATATATGTATGGGTGGGTGATTATAGGTATATGTATGGGTGGGTGACACTATGTACATTGATTCAAGGTATATGTATGGCTGGGTGATTCTCGGTATATGTATGGTTGGGTGATTCTAAGTATATGGATGGGCGATTCTAGGCATATGTTTGGCTGAGTGATTCTAGATAAATGTATGGGTGGGTGATTCTAAGTGTATTTATGCCTGGATGATTCTATGTATATGTATGGGTGGTGATTCTAGGTATATGGGTGGGTCATTCAAGGTATATGTATGGCTGGGTGATTCTAAGTATATGTATGGGATGGTGATTCTAGGTATATTGGTGGGTGGATGCTTATAAGTATATGTATGGCTGGGTGATTCTAGGTATGTGTATAGGTGGTTGATTCTAGGTATATGTATGGGTGGGTGATTCTAAGTATATGTATGGCAAGTGAGTGTGATTCTAGGTATAAGTATGGCTGGGTGATTCTAGGTATATGTTTGGCTGTGTGATTCTAGGTATATGTATAGCTGGGTGATTCTAGAAATGTACGAGGGACAATCGGAATGTAACGCCACGTATTTTTCTATAACAGTTGTAAGGATCTTAGTAACACATTTGGATATGGAAAAGCAATATTTGTCCGCATAGGTAGGAATTCGCGCGTGAACATGATATTATAAGATAGTGAGAAAAATATCCATAATGGATAATTTTTTCACACTTAGCACATTGTCAACTGTTTTGCATTTAAAAGCATAATGAAAAAAATTACGCTCATAAATACTTATATTAATGAACAACATATAGTTTTGTATTATTTGCACCCCTGAAGATGATCTTGGAAGAAGATCGAAGGTACTTGGGAAATGAAAATAAAAGAAATTTAAACAGTTATAGCACATTTCTTTCATCCTTTAAAATCAATACACTGAAGGTTATTCGTGAGTATGAAAAGATTTTGCTAAAAATTAGCAGACATATTGTCTGTAATTTATTCAATCAGACATGACTAAAAGAGAATTTTCTGCCTAAATACGCAAATACACACACACACACACACACACACATATATATATATATATATATATATATATATATATATGTTCATATACATACATAAATATATATATATACATACATACATACATACATACATACATACATACATATAAATATATATATGAGTATGTGTGTGTGTGTGGTACACTTATAATTATGTAAGATTGATTCTGGCGAGAAAATATGGTCTAGTAAGACACTGTCTATATTCTATTCTTATATTTTCGAAAAAAAATATCCAAGAAAAGGAGCCAAGATCATAGTTAATAAATAAAAAAATAGTTTGTCTTTTTTCTGTTTTCTTTATAACGCAATCTGAAATTAAAATTTATGACTTTCACTGAAGTATTAAGACTATCTATCTATATCTTTGAGATAAGGCATCATGATTACTTCCATTATTAGGACTGTTATCTTCATCTAACCTGACATATTTACAACGTTTGAATTAATTGGAATTTCGAACTGAATCCTTTATTTCGTACACCGGAATAGATTCTTCTAGTACTTGATGCCTTTAAGATGCCTTTTCTGTGGCTTGTTATTGAACAGACAATTCTTTGGGTCTAGTCACTGGATCAAACCAACATATTTATCCACTGAGCCGTGTGTCCTTGAGGACATTTGCGTATGAATTTTTGGGAATTGTAATCCTAATGTCTCAGTAACTATTTTTACCAGTGCTAATATCGCAATTTTTGATATTATTATTGTATTTTTTTACCTAACCTTATATTGCAATTTTTGTTGTTATTCATTGGATTTCTCTAACACAACTTATTACCGTTGGTCGTATTGTATTCATTTCCATGCTTGGTCGGCTCAAGAGATTTTTGTGGCCTAGCATATGTGCTGATTCCTTAACGAAACCTACAGGCCGGAGCGTACAACGGCCGAAACGTTCTGAATATCGTAAGTTGAGGATAACAGTCCGAATAATGTAACTAATGCAAGTGTTTCATCTTTTTTGTGCCAACTCAGATATATAACCCTATTCGCATTGCAAATATTGAACAACTAAAGGCGATTAAGCGCTTTGACGAATCCCCGGAAAGGCAAAATGACGACGACGCCCCCAAAAAAGATTTTTAGATTGCTGCTTCTAGTTTTATAGGGTTTATATCGCGTTGAAACACTGGTTCTCATACGATCACCGAAGCTAAGCAACGTCCAACCTGGTCAGTACCTAGATGGGTGAATGCTTGGAAATACTAGGTGCTGTAAGCTTGGATGTGTGGCTGGTGTAATGGATAATGGCTCGTAATTAGAAATCGGAGAGCTGAGTTCCATTTCAAGTCGGTTTCGGTATATTCCCTTACGCGTAAATGCCTTTGGGAAAGGCATGAAACCACCTTTTTCCGCCAAGCTATGGGTTAATTAGTACAACTTGTATGAATAAAAATCATTATTATCTCCAAAACATTATTACAGTCTTAAACAATTTTCTGGCTTTAAATAGCTTGAAAAGGGTTGATAACCCGTAGAAAACAAATTAATCAATCAAAACGCAGTCTTATATATAGATGCTTAATTGATATATGTTGTAATAATTTATATTTCCCAAACAAAAACAAGTCCAAGTATCAAAGCTATAATTAAAGTTAATTTCCTTAGTCTTTGTCTTTCCTGTTTGATAATTGATATTACCTAAAAATAAAATGAATCCCATGTGAAAAACGTCATAGCAGCTTCAGACAATTAAATAAATAAATAAAAACATATTGGAAAAAATTGATAACGATTTTTGAGAAGTCTCTGTGTCACGTGACACCCTGAGTAACATTGCACTATAATCAATTGGAAAGCGAATTGATTTAGAATGTTTTATTGCTAAACCATCATATGGGAATAATTTGCTAGCTGTCATGATAATCGCATAATTAAACTGCATTCAATCTGTGGAGATTCTGTGTGAACTGCTTCGACATTGACGTTAGTACCGCTACTCATTAGGAAAAACAACTTCATTAAATATTATTTTATTTAATTTAATAAAGTGTCATGACAATATGTCGAAAACCTTTTCTGAACGTTGCATAATACGGCAACAGGAATCAGAAAGTAAAAAAAAAACTAAAAGAAAACAAAAATTCTCCTGATATTCACTTTCAGTTTTGCCTTCCCTGTCACAAAATACGTTTATTGAATTTATTGAATAAATTTACTCTTTAGTATTTCAAGATATTTCTGTGCAGTTTTGTTAAATGTATCTGTTGAAATGAGATGCCAGTGTTATTTTCATTTTTGCGTCATTTAGACGATAATTTATCCATCGTACCCTGTATATGTACATATGTTATCGGCCACACACGAACTACATTCTCTTGTAAGTTGACACGTCATTTTTTCAGTCTTAACAAGGGCCAAGAGCCACTTGAGGTAGGAAATTAGATAGTAAGAGGTACAGTTTATGCGGATAAGTGGGGAAAATTACTTTTAACCCCAGACATGAAAAGGTTAGGATTGCAGAGATCGGAAAAGTATATTGTTGGAGATCGCTTCCAGAAAGTAGGCGTTCGTTTTGTTTTCCTTTTCACAAAATAAATATCACAATTGATTTGAATTGGAGGACACATGTGATACACGCATTTATTGAAACCGATAGATTCTTTCTTTTCTGAAAGTAGGAAAAGGCCATTTCAGATTACATCACGACACAATTTGTTCTATATTGAATTGATATTATCGGTATAATTAGGAGCTATTAATACCATATCGCATTAATTTTTGTCCCCAAGACCCTTCACTTACTCATTTCTAAAAACACCACCATACCTCGCTATTTTTTCACCCTTTACAAGGCCTCGGCGTGGGCTCCTCGGAGTGGGCGCCTCGGAGTGGGCACCTCGGAGTGGGCGCCTCGGCGTGGGCTCCTCCGAGTGGGCGCCTCGGAATGGGCACCTCGGAGTGGGTGCCTCGGCATGGGCACCTCGGAGTGCGCGCTTCGGCGTGGGCTCCTCGGAGTGAGCACCTCGGAGTGGGCGTCTCGGCGTGGGCGCCTCGGAGTGACGTCATAGTTAGCAAGCTGGTCTTGCTAAAACTATTAAAACTGAATAACGATTTCGATCCTCACTAGGTGCTAAATACTTTCGGCCATGTGCCATGATATGTCCCGGAAAGTGATATATATTGATCGAAGTAGCTAAGTGGTTTTGGCTACTGTAACAAAGTAGTACGCAGTAGCAGTAATTGACTGGTACTCGTTGTAGTCGGAGGTAATAGGTGTAGACGGAGTAAAATGGGCGTCGTCATAGACTTAAACTCTGTCGTACCTACACGTCCGTCTGTATTTATGACGGACACCAGCCAATCATATTCCAGTGAGGGGGAACTCAGGTGTATGCATATTCCATTATATCATGACACATCTAAGCGTCGCTTAGAAAATCAATACAAGGCCGAGGAGCCACTCGAGGCAGACGGATACATGTTAAGAGGCAAAATTTATGTGGATATGTGAAGAAGATAACGGTTGAACTTAGACATGTACAGGTAAAGATTGTTGCGATCGGGAAAGCATCCACTTGGGAGTCGGTTCTACAATGCAGCGGCTCGTGGAAAGAAGATGCGCAAGTGGAACTGAATCTTACCAATGGAATACGAAGAGCTAATAAGACATATCTATCCCTGAAGAAGGTCGAAACGCTGTTTCTATAATATACTACAAATCAAGTTGCAAACAATATTTCGGATAAATCAATCTGTTTTAATGACAACTATTTATGTAAATATTTTTGTAAATTTAAAAAGAAAATAAAGAATTAAAATAACTATTTTCGCTGAATAATGTAATGGAAATTATCTTGAATATATCGATTCTCAATTATCTAAACGTGCACTGTCACCCGGCGGCGCAATTTCTTTATGAAACGAAAAGAACAGACAGCATGAGAAATAAAACTATGTCGCTAGAATTTGATGCGCGTACGTAAATTGCCTGTTGCGTTCGAGGCTTCGAACGTTTGCGGCGTTCGCGCGCATGTCAGCTTCCGACGGACGACATCGCTTCCCGCGCTATTGATCACATGGACAGGTCTCACGTGACTATGTCCCACACGTATCAAGATCGGCACGTAGCGGCAACTTTGTGCAACTGGGAACGACATGGGAAGCCTTTGTTCCGGGACGACGGTGCGGTGTGTTGCGGGAACGCGATGCTTGTCGTGCGTTGAGTGAGCCGCTCGTCGTTTCGTCTTAAACCACCTACCTAGTCTTCTTTCCAATCCACCCGCTCCAGTTTCCGTTAAGTCCCCCCCACCACTCCCTCCATCCAACACACACACACACACACACACACACACACACACACACACACACACACACACACACCACTAGCCAGTTCTTCCGCAAAACGCCGGACAGGCCATTTTGACCTTTCTGTGAACTGCTTCGGATGTTGACGCCCGCATGTAAACTTCCTCTTAGCCTCGACACGCAATGTGCAGAGGGCTATCAATGATTCGCACGCGAGGAGGGCATGATTACCCAGAAAAGGAGATGGACGGAAAGGAATTAAGGGGGAAAAGAGCGAATTAAATGCAGGAAGGAAATAAATGAAAACGAGATAAGGATAAGTCATGATCAGAAGAGAATGAAGTTATTAGAAAATCGTCTGTGGTGCTGCCGATGACGTGCATAAGAAAATAACGCCACTGGTGAGAGTAATTCTAAGGATAATATACATGTTGACCATTGTAAATTCAACTACTAAAAATTCGCTACCATAATTTGAGTTGGCGTAAATTTAAGTTTCACTAGTTGTCTCACCAAAGCGCAGTTACTGTTTTTTAGTAGCAGATATTTTATGACTTTAACAAATTCCTATGGTTCCGTTTTACGGCTATCCGGTTAAGTTAGTCACATATCTCTAACCAGGGAGAGATATCCATGCTAAATCCATGAGATATCCATGGTAAATATTCAAATTTAATTTTATAATTTGGAAGATTGGCATAATAAAATCCTGTCATATTAATTCCCCATTATTTACAATATATGTGAGCAAGGAAGACATTTTAAAGAACAAAGACACGTTGAAATATTTGACACGCGTTATGAGGAATTACGCCTTGCAAAAATGAACACGACGTCACCTAAGATTAATTTCTTACCTGCTATTTCTTTTGTTATCATACGCAACATGTTCACTCTACAACGCTCTATATCAGGGATCAGCAACCTTTTGCTAATTATTTGCCAACTTAGGGTTTTAAAATCATTCATTCTGTCAACAGCATAAAGAATTTTATACAATCAAGATCAAAAAATATATTGTAGAACAGTTACGTTGAATACTAGACCAGGGGTTGGCAAGCTTTTGCTATGTGCCGACTTAGAGTTTTAAAATATTCAGTTTAACAACAGCATAAGTATTTTTATACAAGTCAAAGTCTATATACCTGTTCTGCAATATAATTTATATCGTAATATATACAATAATATGTAAGCCACATTAATAGAAATAAACTGTTTTTAAAAGTTTGCTTTTTTAAGTTTTGAAACAGTTAAATATCTTCTTTGCTTTGTAGTAGTTATTGGTTCGGACTTCGTGATATCATTTGCGGCGGCGTGACATTGGAAATTGCTTGGCGTGCCACGTGTGGCACGCGTGCTGTATGTTGCCGACGTCTGATTTGCGGAACTCAACACAATTGAGCTAGCTAAAAAGTTGGCATTTAGTGCTGCTTTTAAGCTAGATAATAATATTGTTAACTCCTCATTTTATATCATGAACTACTTTAAAAACGATTCCAACGGAGCTATAGATAGTCTAGTTCAGCGGTCGGCAATCCACGGCACGCAGTGCCACACGTAGCACGACAAGCAATTTTCAATAGCACGCAGCTGCAAATGACATCACGAAGTCCGAACTAATGACTACTACACCGCAAAGAAGATATTTACCTGTTACTCACTCGTTGAACTCCCAACTTGTTTCACCTTCTAAGTGCACCGCTAACAAGGACAAGAAATAATAGACAAGGAAATCTTTCCCTGGACGTGATCTTTTATTAATTCTATAACTACTCACTTAAAGAATTCTTGAGGCGCTCAAGGAAATATTTGAGTAAGCCGTCTATCAGGAACTTTTTTTTAATTATTCAAAGACACTTTTATATAGATATTGCAACTGTCTCTTTCTGATTTTAAATATAAGTGTCTTTGTTCTTTAAAACATCTTCCTTGCTCACATATACTGGATACTCAGCATCCTTCTGTAGAATC